AGCGCGGATTTGTGCAGCTGGAGGCCCGTCGGGGAAAATCGGCAGCGCGGATTTTTTGACGAACATGGGCTGGACGCTGGGCTGTCCAGGCCAGGCAGGAAAAATCATCAAGGAATTGCGCTGGCGAAGCAGGGGCTGTTCAGGCACAGCGGGCAGTGTTGGAATCGGCAGCGCCGACGAAATCGGCAGAATCGGCAGCAGGTGCTGACGATGAGTCTGGACTGTTTAGAGTCCTAGGCTTGACGAAAAAGACTGGGGGCCTAGGCACACGCTGGGGCAGGGGCAGCGGCAGCGATGCCAACAGTGGGAAAAATCGGCAGCGCGGATTTGTGCAGCTGGAGGCCCGTCGGTGAAAATCGGCAGCGCGGATTTTTTGACGAACATGGGCTGGACGCTGGGCTGTCCAGGCCAGGCAGGAAAAATCGTCAAGGAATTGCGCTGGCGAAGCAGGGGCTGTTCAGGCACAGCGGGCAGTGTTGGAATCGGCAGCGCCGACGAAATCGGCAGAATCGGCAGCAGGTGCTGACGATGAGTCTGGACTGTTTATAGTCCTAGGCTTGACGAAAAAGACTGGGGGCCTAGGCACACGCTGGGGCAGGGGCAGCGGCAGCGATGCCAACAGTGGGAAAAATCGGCAGCGCGGATTTGTGCAGCTGGAGGCCCGTCGGGGAAAATCGGCAGCGCGGATTTTTTGACGAACATGGGCTGGACGCTGGGCTGTCCAGGCCAGGCAGGAAAAATCGTCAAGGAATTGCGCTGGCGAAGCAGGGGCTGTTCAGGCACAGCGGGCAGTGTTGGAATCGGCAGCGCCGACGAAATCGGCAGAATCAGCAGCAGGTGCTGACGATGAGTCTGGACTGTTTATAGTCCTAGGCTTGACGAAAAAGACTGGGGGCCTAGGCACACGGTGGGGCAGGGGCAGCGGCAGCGATGCCAACAGTTGGAAAAATCGGCAGCGCGGATTTGTGCAGCTGGAGGCCCGTCGGTGAAAATCGGCAGCGCGGATTTTTTGACGAACATGGGCTGGACGCTGGGCTGTCCAGGCCAGGCAGGAAAAATCGTCAAGGAATTGCGCTGGCGAAGCAGGGGCTGTTCAGGCACAGCGGGCAGTGTTGGAATCGGCAGCGCCGACGAAATCAGCAGAATCGGCAGAATCGGCAGCAGGTGCTGACGATGAGGCTGGACTGTTTATAGTCCTAGGCTTGACGAAAAAGACTGGGGGCCTAGGCACACGCTGGGGCAGGGGCAGCGGCAGCGATGCCAACAGTGGGAAAAATCGGCAGCGCGGATTTGTGCAGCTGGAGGCCCGTCGGGGAAAATCGGCAGCGCAGATTTTTTGATGAACATGCGCTGGATGCTGGGCTGGCCAGGCCAGGCAGGAAAATTCGTCGAGGGGATGCGCTGACGAAACAGGGGCTGTTCAGACACAGGAGGCAGTGCTGGAATCGGCAGCGCCGACGAAATCGGCAGAATCGGCAACGTCGGCAGAATCGGCAACGTCGGCACAATCGGCAGCAGGTGCTGACGATGAGTCTGGATGGACGGACTGCATATGACCCGGCTGCCCGCAACGAGTCATTCAATTCTCTGCCCTATCAACATAACTCCCGATGTGTTGTTCGCTATCTCGGAAGAAGAGATCTCTTCCTCCCCGGGATGGCCGGGTGCGATTACCCGGCGGCGTCATTCAAATCGCTGCCCTATCGGCTACAACTGCTGATGGGGGGATTAGAGGCCTGCCATGGTGGTGAGGGGAGGCGAAGACCATGAAAGCAAGAGTTTTCCCGGGGCTCCTCCGTTGGCCGCGGCATGCGAGCTGCCGGTTTTCCCGCATTCCGCCAAGAAAACGTCGTGCTTCCCACATGAAATCAATCCAGTAAAACCAGCCATATTTTTGTGAGGCTGCCAGCTGAATTTGGGGTCATTCCGGGCCGGTCACTATTTTTGCGTATTTCCTTGATTTTTAACGGTAGGAAAATAAACAAAAATACTTCCCGGCCACGAAAAAATCCGGGATTATTTCTGGAGGTGGATTGGATTATTGCCAACCTATGTGCAAAATTTCAGCTCAAAATACCAAGAAATGAATTTTTTAGAGGGGGGGTGACAGCTGGGACCTAGTAGTGTCTACCCCTGCCAGAGCTGCAATAACACTTATAGCTCTTTAGGGGGGTGCCCCCCGACTGGCCATGGGGCGCGCTGGCTGGCGCCCATAGGCCTGCCGCGGGGGATTTGCGAGCTGCCGCTATGCTCGGACTAACGTGGGGGGCCTCACGGCCCGAAGTAACGCCGCCATCGATGACCCGTTTTCCGCCCGGCGACGACCCGATTCTGGCCACCGTCCCTATAAAAATCACACACGCGCGCGCGCGCGCCCGCCCGCGCCCGCGCTTGGCGCTGGGGCGCTGGGGCCTGGGGGCCTGGGGCCTGAGGGCCTGGGGCCCTTGGGGGCCCTTGGGCGCTTGGGCGCGCGCGCGCGGCAATGATTCCCACGCAGCCA